ATTGGCAAAGCAATCCACTTAATCCAAGATAAAAGTCACCTGCCATGTGGCATAATGTCACGCAGGTTGTTGAACTAGATGAATTGCAAAAGTGATTTCCATTAATTATTGAACAATCAAATGTGATTCACTAACTCTAGTTAACTAACTGTTACAAATAAATTCTAACATTTTCGAAGTCTATTGTAGAAACTCTGACCATTTTCGTTCTGATTCTAATCTTACGTTTTGATTCTAATCTTCCTAATTGTCTACTTGTGATCCGATCCGTTGCGTTTAATTCTGATCGTTCGGAAGCCATCAGAATTGTAACATTAATACCCCCCCCCCCCAACTTGGAGGATGATGAATCATTCCAAGCTTAGAAATAGCATCAACATGATCAACTCCTGATAAATATTTTGTAAACACATATGTTGTTTGTTGTCTTGTTGGAACATGAGACAAGGATATCAAACCAGATTGTAACTTTTCTCTGATAAAATAGCAATCTAAATCGATATGCTTGGTATATTCATGGAAAAGTGGATTTTTGGTTATGTATATTGCAACCATGTTGTCACACTTTAAACAAATAGGCTCAATGTCATGTATTTCAAATTCTTTTAAAAGTCTACTTAGCCATGCTAATTTTAAACAAACACTTCTCATAGATCTATATTCTGCTTCAGCAGAAGACAAAGAAATATTTGCTTGCTTTTAGACTTCTAAGAAACAGGGCTTCTTCCCATTATGATGAAATAACCACTCACGGATCCTCATGTTGATGGACATGATGCCCAATCTAAATCATAAAAATATTCAATCTTGAAATCTTGTTTATTGTTGAGAAAAATAACTTGAAACATTGTTCCTTTCAAGTATTTTAGAACATGCAAAGCAACATTCATATGACATTGAGATGGATTACTATTAAACAGACTCAGAAATTGAGTAGTGAAAGCAATATCATGATGAGGATGTAGTAGAAAGTTCAATTTGCCTACTAACTGTCTGTATTATGTTGGATTAAACAAAGGTGTATCACTGATGAATAATTGTCCCAGTTTACCTGGAAATAGAAAAACGAAAGATTTAGAATTTGTGATTGAATAAGATTTTAATAGATATTTGATTAACTTGTGTTGATGTATGATCATACCATATTTAACATGTACGAATTCCAATCCCAAGAAGAAATTTATAACACCAAAATCTTTGATTTTGAATTTGTCATCAATAATTTGTTTGAGAGAGTTAATTTCTTTAACATTATCTCCTATCACCAACACATCAGCAACATAAACTACAACAATAACAATGATATTATCAACTTTATTGGTAAACAAAGAATTATCATTCTTTGATCTGATGAACCCTTTATATGTTAATGTTGAGAAAAGTTTGCCATACCATGGAATTGATGCTTACTTAAGACCATATAGTGACTTTTTGAGTTTACATACCAAAGAAGAAGATGTAGAATCCATACCAGGAGGTAATTTCATATAAACTTCTTCATGCAAATCTCCATGAAGAAAAGCGTTATTAACATCAAATTGATGAATCTTCCAATCTCTTTTAACAACCAAATTGAACAAACATCGAACAGTATTGAATTTAACAACAGAAGAGAGGGTTTCATGATAGTCAATACCTTCTTTTTGAGTGAACCCTTTGGCTACAAGTCTAGCTTTGTATCTTTATATTAAACCATCAGCCTTGTATCTAAATTTTTATACCTATTTGCAGGAGATTGGACATTTTCTTTTAGGAAGAGGAAAAACTTCCCAAGTATTATTAGCAACAAGATCAACATACTCTTTTTGCATAGCTTTTTCTTAAAGATGATTGCCTTTTGCTTGATAATAATAAAGGGGTTCAAAGATTTTGGAATTGACAGTGAAGGCTAACAATTCTATTTGATTAACATCATGATGGCAAATTTTGTCATTGTTAATGAACAAATTGGTAATGGTATGTGGAAAATCATAGAAATGATGATCATGTTCTATTACATTGTAACAAATATAATCATTGAATTTTGTAGAAGGATTAATTTTTCTAGTTGATCTTCTGATATGAAGAGAAGAAGGAACCGTTGGATGTTGATCTTGCTAAAGGTATTATGTTCATTTGGTAAAACAGAGTTGGAAATGAATTCTTAATGTGGAATTTATGTGGGTAGATCGAATCAGCATAATCATGCGGAAAAGAAGACCCATAAGTATCCATTGAATGACCATTATGCAAATGAAAAATATCCTCAACAAATTTGACATTTCTTGAAACAGAAATATCATTTGTTTTAATATTCAAGACTTTGTACCATTTTTACCCAAAAGGATAACCAACAAAAATACAAGGTTCAACCCTTGACATAAACGTGTCCCTGTTAGTTGAAATTATGGAAACATAACAAAGATATTCAAGAAGATGCTTATGTTTCCTTTATACTAGGGGTGTGATAAAAAACCAAAACCGAATAATCAAACCAAACCAAATGATGTTTGGTCTATTTGGTTTCGGTTATTTAGTTATTTGGTTAATTCAGTTTGGTTAACTGAATAAGGGTACTTTATTTGGTTTGGTTTTGGTTAAATTTTCATGACTTTGGTTAAACTGAATAAGCTATTTAATTAATATAAATTTTTATAGTTTACATCTATAAATTAACATTTTGTATTTACATAAATATATAGTCACTAAAAAGTATTTTCATAACTCATTATTTAGTTATTAACCACTATAGATTTATAATTGTTTATAGATTGTAATAAAATACAACTAATTAGTAAAATGTTAATTAACCTTTGTTCGTTTTTTTCTTATTTATATACGGCTAAAGTTATATTAACCCACATCTACAAGTTGTGTGGTTACATCGATACTCTAACACAACATATCATGAATGACTAAATATAATATGTTATGTATTAGTGTTTTTTTTTTCATTTGGTAAAAGTTTAGTATGTTTTTTTCTTTAGTTTAATATTTATTGTTACATGTGAAAATTTATTTGGTTTAACCGGTAAACCAAACCAAATAAACTATAACCGAATTAACTAAAACCGATTAAACCGAAACTTATTTGGTTTAGTTATGGTTATTATTAAGATGTAAAAAAAAACCGATAGAACCGAACCATATAAACCGACATGAGTGTGAACTTTATATGGCCCCCAAACATCAGCATGAATCAATTTAAATGGTTTATTTGCAATGGTATTACTATTTGTGAATGATAGTTTTTGTTGTCTAGATTGATGACAAACTATACATGAATTAAAATTGATACAAATATAATCTTTAGGAACTAAAGAAAGAGTTTCATTTTGTACAATGGAAGATGTCCTAATCTATTATGCCACATATTAGGAATATTATTCTTGTTACATGATTGAAAATTGTTTGAAGAATTATCATCTAAACTAGGGTTTTTCAAAATATTGTAATCCCTTAACAAGATTTTTCACTATTTTCCAATGATAAAGTTACTCTTAGATAAAGGGGTCTGCATATCCCAAAACTCATCAATGAAAATTACCCACACTTTAAGTTGAGAAGTAATTTTGGGAACTTAAATGAGATTGTGCTTGAACTTTGGAACATATATAAGTTAGATCCAATATAATGGTGTCATGAATAGGAACACTTCCATTGTGTGAAACATGAATCGATTGGCCATTTGGTAGTCCAATCAATTGAGGTATTGCGTAAGTCATTAGAGATGAAAACATAGATTTGGAAGAACATATATGATTTGGTGCTCCTGAATCTATAATCCAGGATGTCGATTCTTAACTAGAATCATCAATAACATTGAAAATATACGAAATATGTTCACCAGAATAATCAATATAGTTACATGCATTGTCGATAGCACTGTCAGTAATCATAGAATTGATACATGCATACTCATTGTTGTTGTTGCTTAACAATTGCATCAACTGTTTATATTGCTCAGAAGATATGAAATTGGTCTTATCATACATTATTAATTACATATCCATTCTTCTTAGGCTTGGTGAAGTCCGGTGAACTCTCCCTTCCCCACAAAATGTCTGGTGAATCCTTCCCCACCAAGTTCCTATGACTTTCTTATGTTTTCTACAAACAAAGAAAAAAGATAAAATTGTGAAAAAAAAAAATGGGACATTGGTAGACACCCCTCTTGTGAAACCTATGATAACCCACCGACTTTCTTTTTCAACAAAAACCAAATAGACCATCTAAATCAAAATACACATCCATCAAATCTAAAGAACTTGCAAAAGACCAACATATAACAGCTAAAGAAAAATGGTGGAAACAACAACATTCAGTCCTATACAACAAAACGGATTTGAGCTGAAAAAAATACCACTTACAACGGAAAAATCTTAAATATATTTGGAATAAAAAACATCAAATGATTCAGCTTAGGAATAAACAATCATTCATCCAAAAAAAATCAAATTCCAGAATTTGAAATCTGGATCATTGATTTCTCCCCAAACATTCTCTGCAACTTTTTTCCCTTGATGCATCTGTCGGTGAAATCTTTAGTTCATCCAAAAAAAATCACACCAATACCCGATTCATGGATCTTAAACCCGAATATGGCACATGGCATAACTTAATACACTCTCAAGAATCCATAAATAAAGTTGTCGATTTTCTTTCGACATATGCATCATTCGGGTAATCTTCTAGTGTTGACTAACTCGAGGGCAACAAAAAGTTGTGGTTCTGACTAGCGAGAAGGGACGTAAATAACTAGATAATGGAAAGGATAAAGGGTGTGTGGTCATGAGCTAGAGAGAAACCCTAGATGTAAGGTAATTAGTGAGACCTATTAATTTATTATTATATAAAACAGTAAATAAATTAAAAAATAATTAATATGACAATATAATCTTGTCGGATAAAAACTTAACGTGCAAAAATATATTTTAAAGACCATCAAAAAAAAAAAAAAAAAAGATCACCCAGAATCATAAAATCATAAGTACCCTATTTAATTTTTTTTAGACTTAACTATTTAGTTTAACCTATTCCACGTGGAAAATATAAAACATGAAAATAAATCGATACGTTTATAGAGTATAGACGGCCCAATACTGACCGCAGCGTATGTTAGCACCGAGCAACATAGAAGCACACTCCACCACCGGAGACTTTTATTAGCTTCAAACAAGAAGTGCGAAGAGATCACCAGTCGATCGATAGAGAGACTCGATCTATCTATCTATCTATCAATCAACCATGGCGGAGGATTTGGTGTTGGATACAGCAATCAGAGACTGGGTACTCATACCGTTATCAATCGTCATGGTTCTAATCGGAATCCTCCGTTACTTCGTATCCAAGCTCATGCGTACTTCTCAATTGCCGGATGCCAAGATTATCAAAGAAGGGTTAGTTTAATTCCTTCTCTTTCTACTTCTCTCATGTATTCAATTCCAATCTTGATTTCGTCCTGTTTGATTTTTAGGCAGGTTATAATTAGGGCTAGAAATCTACGGGCGGCCGCTAATTTCATACCCCCAAAGGCGTTTCGTGCTCGGAAAGTTTACTACACTAATGAGGTTTGATTCCTCATAATTTGATACTTTCTCAGATTTACAATTTTTTTGCTTTGAATTACATTAGATCATATAGCTACCAAGTGCTTACAGTTTCAATTCCTAGCACAATCAGATCAAACTTTGAACTAGATAAGCTTCAATTCTCAATCCATCTCTTGAATTCCATGTTCTTAGACACTCCATAGCGTCTGGTTTTCTGAATTCCTAGGGATTTGGTCTTGATTTGTATTCCTTTGGAATTCACAAACTCCTTTGACTCGATGCATTTCAACATTCCATCCAAAAACCCATGGAACTCAACAGAAATTTCACCATTTATGCTTAACCAAAAGCTTTACAGAATTCAAGTCTTTTTTGTTCTACAGGAAAACGGTTTACTTCATGTTCCCAAAGGCCAGGGTCAAAATCCTCAAGCACAAATGTTGTCTGATCCAAACATGGCTATGGATATGATGAAGAAAAATCTTTCAATGATTATACCACAGGTAAAAACTTATTTTGCATATTCTATCATACAAATATACATATATACAAGATTCGATATCTAATTTATAATACTCAAATTTTAACCCCCTTTTTCTAGACCCTTACCTTTGCTTGGGTTAACTTCTTCTTCTCCGGATTTGTAGCAGGTATATCAGCTTTTTAAATTTCCATTATTTAACATTTGTGAGAAATCTAAATTCCTGTGTTTTTATTCTTCAGCAAAGATTCCGTTTCCTTTGACACAAAGATTTAGGTCAATGTTACAGAATGGAATTGACTTGAGCACTGTTGATGTTAGCTATGTTAGCAGTCGCTCATGGTAATGAAAAAATTGCAATATTTTTTAAAATTTTAATTAAGTTACATTTTTATTTTCCGAAAATCAACTTTTGTTATTATGTTTAATTTCTTTCTCAGGTACTTCCTTAATCTGTTTGGATTAAGAGGCTTGTTTAGTCTCATTCTTGGAGAGGAAAATGGTAAATTTATTTATTTTTTTTGCACTTGAAAATTTGGCTTTAATTTTTAAATACAAAACAAATTCCATAATATATTTTTTTTTGACATGATTCTTTAAATCTAGCCACTGATGATACACAACGTATGATGCAAATGAGTGGATTTGGGTTTGATCCTTCCAAGGTATATAAATTATCCACATCATCGGTCTTTAGGCCCACTTTTGTCCTTGTCATTTAGAATAATCTTTTTTTTTTTTTTTTTTTTTTTTTTTTTTTTTTTTTTTTTTTAGAGTTTGGGTGCTGAGAAAGATGGGCTAGACATAGTTCAACATGAGTGGGTCCTACCGAAATTCGAACAACGAGCTGAAGCTGTGTTGAGAAAGCTTGTCAGCTAAATAATTATACAAGTCTTTAGATTATTATGTTTACTTTTGTTTTTTTGTTGTAGCAAACAAATCTTAATAGTTTTCACTGATATCTGTTTGTAATTTCTCAGAACTAAAGATCGAGTTGTAATCGTATTTTAAGCATTTGGTAATTTGTTGAACCTTGCGTATGATTTAGTGTTGTACTTTTTTATTCTTGTATAAGATTCGACCGATATGTGTGTTACAAGTGGAGTATCATACATTGTTAGGGACATTATGATGTTTATTTATCACTAGTTCAAATTTATCATAGTAATTCTAAAATCGTAAGAGAACTAACAAAAATTTGTTAGTGATAAAAAAATTTGGATGAAAAAGCAATGTACTTTAATTATGAAAGACAAATTTGCAAAATTGGTCTTGTGGTTTGTTAATTTCTCTAGATATCCAAAAAAAGTTTATTAGCAAAAAAAATCTCTATTTTGGTGGTTTTATTATAGGTTTGGTCTCTATCTTGTTAAGTTTAACAGTTTGTTGTTAAGTTTAACAGTTTGAGTGTTAAGTTTTTGAAAATGATGCATTTATCCCTAAGAACCATTTCTACAGTTTTATATTTTTACCAAATTACAAGGATCATTTCCATAAATTTTCTTTTTTTGTTTTATTGAGTTATTGTATATTAGTTCATTTAATTAATTCTTTTCTTATTGGATTATTATATATTAATAAATATTATTTTATTATATTATTAATTTTTTAATTAATTCTTTTTCTTATTCTTTATTGGATTAATTTTTTTTCATTGGATTATTATATATTAATAAATATTAATTTTGTTATATCATATTTATATCTTAACAAATATTATTTTTTAATTATATTTAAAAATTTTCATTTTTATTGGATTAATTCTTTTTTATTGGATTATTATATATTAATAAATATTTTTTTTACCATATAATATTTTTCTATTAATAAATATTACTCTATTGTATATTTGTATTACTAATTTCTTTTAATTTTTATTTATTACGTTAATATTTTATTGGATTATTGTTTTTAATTTATTATTTTATATATAATAAATATCATTTTATGGATTAATAATTTATAATGTATAATATTATTTCTTTTTGATTTTATTGGTTCCACCACAAAGTCGTGAGAATACGCAAAAATGTCGCGTCCCATCGTCGAAAATCAGCAGGACAACCATCAATCACCTTCATCGATTGTTCAACAGAAACCCCACCAACTTGTTACACCCAATGCCGCCAATAGCCATATAAGACAACCTTATCACAATCCGTCGAAATCCTCTATATATGCTACTAAGTCGGCCATATTCTGCTACAACCACCAGGATGTCCGATCCAAACACTCCTGGTCAGCTCCTCCATTCGTTGCCTTCTACCGCCATGCGTCGTCCTATCATCTCGTTGGAAATCGCTGATTATTGTCTACAGTCGGTCATTCTCGATGAAAACTACATTGGTTGACTACCCACACAATGCACAATAAACCCTAGAAAACATACAACCTCTAGCCGACCATTCGTTACCAATATAGTTATCAATGGCGACAATGTTAAATCAATGGTTTTCAAACAACCATAGGCAATAAGGGTGGTGACATTGTTGTAGAACTCGTTATTCGGTACTCGTTCGGTCGACTACCGAGTAGCGAGTACTCGGATTTGGTAATTAATGTAGAAATATTTTTAGGGAAATTATATATGTCAAAATCATAAATTATTGAAATATATAACAAATTTAGATATATGTGAATAGACAAAAAAACTAAAATAAACATGATGACTGAGTGATGCTGGTGGTGGTGACTGAGTGTTGGTGGTGGTGTTCTCCAAAATATGTTATCTTCCAAATATTTAAAATAAATTAGGAGAGGTGGGGTGGGTGAGATTGTGTAAATCTCAAAAATCATGACCAAAATTTTCATTTTTAAACCATTAAATATAAAACTATAGTTATTAAACCATTCCATTAAATCATGAGTCAAAGTATTTCAGAATACTATTATCAGAGTTCCAAATTAAAAAATTAGAGTAAACATCACATGCTAAACATCATGGTGTGTGCACTGCAATCATCCCGAGCTCTTCCCTTAGCTACCGGAAGTACCTAAAACCAAAACTGAAAATTGTAAGCACGAAGCTTAGTGAGTCTCCCCAAACTATAACATACCATACACATAATCACATAAACTGCACCCTCGCCCCTTCCTCGGGCCCCGCCCGGCATTGGACAGTGTCCGGCATCAGGCTCCGCCTGGCATCAAGCCTCGTTTGGTATACAGATCCGTTTCTTCCAGGCCCCGCTTGTCTCTGGGCCCCGCCCGCTATACTGTGACAACCGTCAAATTCTGGTCAATTCAAAGTCAAATAAAGTCAACAAGTCAAACCGGTCAGCTCAACTAACCCTTGTGTACTAGGACTTACGTTCAGTATTTACTAAACAACTCGCTATTCTGATAAGAAAACATAAATCGAAAAGTACGTACAACTAGATCTCTTTAACCTAAAAACTGCGGTAAGTGGCAAGCCAAACCGATAAAACAATGATGCTTACTCATCGGGAGTGTGTAAGATCCTTAAATAAGGCTTAACAGGGTTTACGAACCATGCATTGCGATGTCGGACACTCACAACTGTCCCACATGGAACCTCTCTCAATCGTTTTCACTCTATCTCTCTCTATGTCAAATCTCTCCCAAATCTTTCTCAAATATCTCTCTGTATGAGAAATCTCTCCAAGAATGTCAAATCTCTCCCAAATCTCTCCAAGTATGTGAAATCTCTCTCAAATATCTCTTTGTATGAGAAATCTCTCCAAGAATGTCAAATCTCTCCCAAATCTCTCCAAGTATGTGAAACCTCTCCCAAATATCTCTTTGTATGAGAAATCTCTCCAAGAATGTCAAATCTCTCCCAAATCTCTCCAAGTATGTGAAACCTCTCTCAAATATCTCTTTGTATGAGAAATCTCTCCAAGAATGTCAAATCTCTCCCAAATCTCTCCAAGTATGAGAAATCTCTCCCAAATCTCCCTCAAATAGTTCCCGTAACTTTTTAGAATCATTCGGGTCATTCCGGCCCTTAACCGGGTCAAAAACGGCTTAAAACGGGGCGAAAACGAGAAAAATAAGCTTTAGGAACCGAAACCAAGAAGAGAGGCCTCTTAGGCGAGGACCGAGCCTCTGTTGGCTAAAGCACGCGAGGACCGAGCCTCTGTTGGCTAAAGCACACGAGGACCGAGCCTCTGTTGGCTAAAGCACGCGAGGACCGAGCCTCTGATGGCTAATGCACGCGAGGACCGAGCCTCGGTCTCTATCGCTACTCCGCCTTTCTGTCTCTACCCGCCTCTCTGTCGCTACTCCGCCTTTCTGTCTCTACCCGCCTCTCGGTCTCTACTCCGCCTTTCTGTCTCTACCCGCCTCTCGGTCTCTACTCCGCCTCTCTGTCTCTTCCCTACTCTCGGTCTCTGCTCCTTCTCTCCTCTCTGTCTCTTCGCGCCCCTCTGTTCTCCTCCCCCCTCTCGGTTCCTTCCCCCTCTCTTCTTCCCTCTCGGTTTCTGCCTCCCTCTCTCTCGGTTCAGCATCAGAAGACCGAACCTCGGTCAGAATTCGGAAATTTGTCACTTTTAGCCCATTTTTGATATTTTTAACATTTTAAGCCCGTTTTTCGTGATTTTAAAGCGGGATTTTCTCCAGAAATTATATTTTAACATAATAAACTCTAAATATTCATAATTTAAACATATTTTGATGAAAATCATTACCTAAATAATAAAAATCAAGTGGGTGAATTATTAAAGGTGGAGTGTTGACTTTGCCTTATCCAATGTCACAAGCAACCACCCCACACCCACTCTTTGACTAACCACACCTCCCCACCTTACCTAGGTCACTTCAATGTCCCTCACACTCAATTTACACTCATTCCCACGTTTTTAGAGCTGGAACAAACATCCTCTCTCCTCATTTCTCTCATTTGCCCTCATTTCACTAAGTATCAAACACCACTTTTCTCTCAAACTTTTCCCACTCCAATTTCGAGATTCAAGGCTGATTTTCAAGTGTTCTTCCACTCTTAGTAAGTATAATTCATCCTCCTTATGATTATTTCACTTCATTCTACTCAAATCATGAATATCTTACACAAACTCCATCATATTAGCGTTAGAGCTTCGAATCTTCAAGTGATTCTTCAAGTGTTCTTGGGTTGAACACTTCTCTTCTTCAACACTTATCTACTGAAATCACTCAAGGTGAGTTCATACCCCTACATTTTCATGTTTTCTCAAGTTTTCAGGGGGGGGGGGGGGGAATACAAGTTAAAACACCAAGAACATAACTAAATTTTTCTAACAGCCTTCATCAGAAAAGTTCAACTCCATTCACGGACTGTTTTGGACAACTTAAACATTTTATTTTTCAAAACTGTACAAGGTGCAAATAGTTCAAGTTCTTAGCTTTAAAATGACTACTTGCACATCTCCATACGATTTTTCTACAATTTATGGTGAATTTTACAAAACTGCCTATCATTTCAAACACCAATCCGGACCAGTCTGTGATTATGGACTTTTTCACCCAAATTTGAGGTCATTAAAAATCTTGATAAAAATTATGAGTAAACTAGACACATTTTGCGAACTCTCAGAATTTACGGATCTAGTTTTCGACTTCGTATGATTTTTCTATGATTTTTCTAAAATAGTGCTGAAAGACTAAGAATTAATTAACAGCTTCTAACTATCAAAACACTTTGTAACATGTTGAGCAAAGTGTTAAATCTTTGATAACTTCATATATTACATGTATTTCTTGTTATGATATAATTATATAATAGGAAATTACTTGCTGAATTTATAAGAATCCTCCATCATAATCATTAGTACAAGACAAAACAAGTTAAACATAGCTATAATGTACTATACATTTGACTTCCATAGAATGGGATTCTTAAACACCACAAAGAAATATACTAAACTATAATAGGTATAGTTAGAGTACATATACATTTCAAACATTTTAATAAACTATAATAGGTATAGTTTATGATCATTTACATAACATACTCGTACAAAAAGGGGTACAAATACAAAGTGCCGGTTTATTTAAACAAAAAGGGGTACAAATACAAAGTGTCGGGTTTATATACAAAAACGGGTACAAATACAAAGTGTCGGGTCTCTATACAAAAAGGGGTACAAATACAAAGTGTCGGGTCTCTATACAAAAAGGGGTACAAATACAAAGTGTCGGGTCTCTATACAAAAAGGGGTACAAATACAAAGTGTCGGGTCTCTATACAAAAAAAGGGGTACCGATACAAAGTACCAGGTTCACTTAAGATAGTTATTATGAAATCAAACTATATTTCATCTAGAATTGTTAGACTTCAACTATAGTCGCTGAGCGTATATGTTTGAGTCATATAAGAATTTAGTCTTGATTGGCCTAGAATTGGTGGCGCCCGCCTCATCTCCTGTTCCTCGTTGGGTTGTGGACCTAGGGCAGACCCACTATATTCAACGTTTTATCTAATTTAAACCTTATATAACTTTTATACGCTGGACGATTATAGAGGAACTCTACGGGTTATTCTAGGGTTCATTAATGCATCATATAGGAATATTTCTATTCACACTTAACTAAGAAAATATTGGATTGTCTGGAAATCAAACTATATTTCATCTAGAATTGTTAGACTTCAACTATAGTCGCTGAGCGTCTATGTTTGAGTCATATAAGAATTTAGTCTTGATTGGCCTAGAATTGGTGGTGCCCGCCTCATCTCCTGTTCCTCGTTGGGTTGTGGACCTAGGGCAGACCCACTATATTCAACGTTTTATCTAATTTAAATCTTATATAACTTATATACACTGGACGATTATAGAGGAACTCTACGGGTCATTCTAGGGTTCATTAATGCATCATATAGGAATATTTCTATTCACACTTAACTAAGAAAATATTGGATTTTCTGCAAATCAAACTATATCGATTTTACAAGGAAAAACGGTTTCTACTTCAAACAAAACTCTTATGAACTCACCAACTTAATTGTTGACACTTTTCAAAACTACTTGTATTCTCAGGAAATCAGTGAAACAGGAAAACTTCATCGCTTTGAGGATGGGACGTTAACCCGTCAACAATTTATTTTTGTCATCATAATGTAATTGCTTTTGAAACATGTAAACATATACTTTGGTGTAACTTTTTCAATTATATATATGGTGGTTGTATTTACTTTGAGCACTATTATATTCGTTGTTGTGATACTGTACATGAAGTCCTCCACCCCCGGACGTTTCCGCCATCCTTGGTTTGGGGGTGTGACATATACACATACAGACAATAACATATAATCATGCTAGCACATAAGGAATCACACATAATACTATATATTCTAGTCCTAAGACCTCGCCTAACATGGGCCCCGCCCCTACTCTGTTAATGATGAGATATGTAACCCCGTCCACTCTCAGCTAGTGATGAGATACGGGACCCCGCCCACACTCACCTCCCCACCAGGCATATACAAGTATCACAAAGACAACAAGTATAACTAAACACGCATTCCTTCATCGGGTACCACCTGACATCGAACCGGAATTCGAAAACATACATATAAACATTCCTCGGGCCCCGCCCGACATCAGACCGTAATCCGGAAAGCACACAAACCTTCCTCGGGCTTTCCCCCGCATCTGACCGAAGTCCAAAAACATATAAAACAAGTACATACAAGAATCATAAAGACATCAAGCATACAAACATTCCCCGGGCACCGTCCGATAACATACTAACAAGTACATACAAGAATCAAACCTACATCGGGCATTGTCCGGCATCGGACCTTAGTTCGGAACATACTAACATACATATAAAGGCCGACATTGGTGCCTTTGATCCGTTCCTACAAGAGGAAAACTCACATCTCAAAGCCAAATGCATAATCCCACAGATAAACCTCTAGCTACTAGCTGACAGATCCCTGAACTACTGATCATCATACAGATTAGATAAGTCTGAGATTCTTATAACTTATCCATAAGTCCTCATTAGGGTAAAATACCACTCTACCCCTCACATACTCTTGTCCCAAAATAAACTATACCCAAACCTTGGCCCAAAAGATAAACACTTCCACAGGGCCCAATAATCCTTCTTAAGGTAAAATGACTATTTTACCCCTGATCTAATTTGGTCCATGACCAAGGCCCAAATCCATAACATGAAGGGCCCAATTCTATATAGTCTTCCCAAACCCACTAATGGCCTACTTATGGCCTAATTTTCTAAATTGGGCCCAACTTCTGAAATAGGCATTCCTTCAAGCCCGACATATAATATAGTTCATTAACAGCCCAAAAGAATAATCCATCAAGGCCCATAGTCATATAGTCCAAGGAAATGGCCCAAAGAGGGCTACTGATGCAATGAACGCAGAACGTTCCTCTTTGGTTCAGATCGTGACCCCCAATGGGAACGTAACGCGTTTTCGAGCCTTACGCAGGGCTTTCGCGTCCAGATTCCAAAAATCAACCATTAAGTACTTTATGCTTAAGCCATGCTATCGAAACATAGATCCAAGGTATCTAGGACCTCTAGAATTATAAAGTCACGAACTTTATGACTTTGCATGGTCCAAAAGGACCCAAACATCCATTAAAGCTTCCAATCCATAAACCAAGACCTAAAACCTTTGCATGGTTGGTCCTCAACCATCAAGTTACCATTTTTATGACTCGAACAACTCAGAAACGTGAGGATCTTCAATCCTAGGCTCTTGGAGTAGCTCAAACTCCCAAAGAGCATACATATGATCATAAGAAGCACAAAGAAGCCATAATCTAGATCTTAAGCTATAAGATAGCAAGATAAAAACTTTATACCTTTTGAGGCTTGCAAATGAGCTGGAGAACCTAGATCCAAAAGTTATTCCTTGATCAATGAGACTTTAAGGTGGTCACTTTTCTTCAACAACTCTAAAATACACTCAAAGATGGTCTTCCAAGCTCACACACTCACAATTAGGGTTAGGGCTTCGAAAAGAGGCTTAGGGTACTGTAGAGGCTGAGAGAATGAAGAGCGTTGGGTCTTAAGTTGCTTAAATAGTGCACACTTAAGGTTTTAAGTGCAGACGGCGAACGCGTTGCATTCCTAACTGGACCCCCCCCCCCCCCCTTGGCCTCCGCATCAACTTCATGCACTGAACGCTGAGCGTTCAAGATATAAACGCCTCACGTTCGAGCCTTGCCTCCAACACCCATCTAGCAATTAAGGTCTTAGGCTTGAAAAACTTTCATACTTAATTGATTCAAGCTTTTACATGCCATATGAATCTTATAATTCCCAAGATGTTACAGATTTTTTGGTATTTTTATTTAAAACAATAAAGAAAGCAATTAAAAGAAAATAAAAACAATTAAAAAAATAATATTTATTATAAATAAAAATAATAAATTTAAAGAAATATCCAATAAAAAGAATAACGCAATAAAAAGGTTAAAAATTTTAATTAAATGAAATTAATAATCCAATAAAGTAACACTTACTAATAGATAAATATTATATGTTAAAAATAGTATTTGTTAATATATAATAATCCAATAAAAAAGAATTAATCCAATAAAAAAGAAATTCAAAAAAATTAATTAAAAAAATTAATAATCAAATAAAGTAACATTTATTAATATATAAATATAATATATTCGTAGTATTTGTTGATATATAATATTATCTAATAAAAAAATAATACAATAAGAAAGAAGTTAAAATGAATTAATTAAAAGAATTCAATAAAATGAAAAAGAAAATTGCATAATTGATCCTTGTAATTTGGTAAAAAAATACAATTGCAAAAATAATCCCTAGAGGTAAATCTATCATTTGCCAAAAGTTAACATGCTGTTAAACTTAACAAGATATGGACCAAAACCACAACAAAACCACCAAATAGAGACTTTTTTGCTAACAAACTTTTTTTTAGACCTTACCAAAAGAAATTGACAAACCACAAGTACCATTTTTGCAATTTTGTCCTTATGAAACATACACTTTTCCTTTACCAATAACATTATATACAACTTCATCCACAATAACTACATCCCCCAAATAATAACAAATATCCAAACCCATAAAACAACCTAATTAACTACAAGCAATTTACATGTTCTCTATATTTTGCTCTTATAAAAAAAAAAGTCCCAACAATAACCAAAGATATGCATTTAAAACATTAAAAAAAAAAAAAAAAACTCACCTAATTCCAATCTTTATTCATAATATATATATAGTTATATACCTAGTTATAGACATGATATACCCCAAGACCTAACGACAGCGAGTCAACTCAGTCAAAACAGAAAACTTCCAACATAAATTTACTCTATTATTACCTTTACAAACAGATAAGAAACAAACTAGCTCAAAATTTCAATTTTTTTATTTTATTTTTTTATTTTCACCATGTCCCAAAGCTGCATCCCACGTGATCTTGAGTGATGATATTTAGGCGTTCTCTCATGACATCCAACGAAGGGTAAGATGGGAAACAAATTCGATAAAAACACGTGTGAGAAGATGGAAGAAGCTCTATCGAATCATTTGTTTTGTAAATATAAAGCTTTGAAGCTAATCCACCAAAACCTTCAATCGGTAGATGTTTTAAAGATGTCCAAAAGAACAAAAGCACCTTTCTCTGATTCCCTGTCATTTCTTCAATAATCTGCAACAAATAACTACTTTTAACTAACAACATTAAGCAAAAGAGAGAGAGAGAGAGAGAGAGAGAGAGAGAGAGAGAGAGAGAAATGACAGGTGGCAATTAGCAATTGGCAATTGGAAATTGGCATAATGCATACCTCCCATAACCATGATATTTGAGGATCAGTTTCCTTATACCCATAATACTCAGTATGCTTCTTCCAATCTTCCACTGAAATAATACTTTCACTTCCATACAACATTCCATCAAGATCCTCACATTCCAAGCTTTTAAAAAACAATTTCCTTATCTTTTCTTCTCCAGCAATATCTGTAAACCCTTTAGCAAAATAAGACACCTGTTCTGAAACAGATGTCACAAACCTATGCTCAATAAGAAGATCAACATACTCCTTCCTGTTTCTACTATTCACAACAATGTTTTTTCCATCTGCAAAAAGCTCCACAACTTTTCTTGATCCTAGTTCTTCAATTTCTCTAACGAATGTTAACCCAAGGGCATCTTCGTCAACTGTAGTGGGGTCCATGTCTAGTATCTGTTTGCAGCTGCTGTATAGATATGGATCTGCATCTTTTATGTCTTCTAAACAGATTGTGTTTCCTGATAATTGTGAGAAAAATGATCGATCGAATGCAATTCCTACTTGGATTTTGTGCATTAAAGCTAGTGCGATTATTCTTCCTGCAAAGTTGAAGTATTCAAGGTGCAATGGGTCCACTTTAGATGCTGCATATTCAACAACAAGTCAACAAGTCAACAAGTCAACAAGTCAAGAAGTTAATAAGTTAAGAAGTAAAGAAGCAATTCCATGTTGAAAAAAATGTTTTTTTTTTTGTTTATTGAAGGATTGTGAAGTTACCTGGATTGGGGAAGAATCTTCTTCGGTCATTAGGGCAAGCAACAAAAAGGGCATTTTGGGGATTAAAGATTTCTTGACAAACTAAGAAGAACCATTCACGTAATACACCAGGGCCTGTAGCTTCTTCGTTTTTGAACTCCATGAATAATCCACCACGAAGAGTTTCAGGATCTACACGTGCAATGTACTCAAAAGATTCGGCTAATAACTGAGATCTGTCAATAAGCATCTCATGAAGTTCATCATATTCATCTTTCATTTCTGGAAGCAACATCAATACCAAATGCCTTCTGGATTCGAAGTCGATAACATCTTTATGTCCAAGAATCCATTTGTAATCTTCACCTCTTTTAGCATATTTAACAATCAGATAGCATATTGAGACCTTGTTCCTTTTCAAATTTTCCCAAAAGAAATCTTCTGCGCCTTGATATAGTTTGGAAATGCTACGCAGTTCTTTCAAGATTGAAAGATAAGAATCCCATCCGAAATATCCTTTCTTTTCTGAAGCTAAGTAGCTCTCTATTTTATCAAGACACATTTGAACTTTCTCAAAAAGCTCAATGAAGATCATGTATAGAAGTTTGATTTCATCACTGCCACAAGGGAGGGTGGAGGTGGACTTACTTGGTATTGGTATGATTCCCTCAAACTCTGTCTGATCTTTGATTGCAGCTTTGAGAGGACGCAAGAATGAAGCAAACTCACGGACATCACTTGGTGAAGGACAGACATCATCTATGGCTTCCACACTGGAAATTAAACCTTCTGTTAGGTTGTTTGCAAGCTCAGCCACATATGGGAGAATGTCCTGAACTGTAATGATTACAGGCTTATTACTAATGTTATCATAATTCCGAGAGCTTCTTCCAATTCTAAGGTACTCCACCATTGATCCTAGACTACTCCGGCAATCTTCATACAGAGGATCTGATCTTCCTGAAACTCTACACAGCAATTTACAGAACTCTAATGCTATAGGTGCACACTGTGAATAAATAGGTCTTGACAGTGTATCTCTACTAGAGTTAAGGAGATGTCGAATTGACTCTTGAGCACACTCTTTGTTACCTGCATGAGGAGACATGTAGAGCATCATCAGTGCTGCAGGAGCACATAACGATTGGAATATATTCAGATGAGGCGCCGGTTGATCATCCCCGATATCATACTTGGCCGTCATGTTTAAGAACTCTGTTAACCGCGATTTCACAGACTTCAGACAAAGGCCCTTTTCTCCTTTGCACAACCTGTAAATCGTCGAAACCAAATCATCAATCAACTGCCACGCTTGCGGATGCTCCGTACTCCGCATTCGACCAACCAATTGCAAGCCTGCGTCGTTATTTATCTTACACTCAGCCAAACTATAATCCCACTGAAGCTGCCGGCCTCGATAAATCAACCGCTGCTCGACCATCGGAATTCCGGTGGCGGCCTGGATTTTCTCGTGGATTAATTTGACTTTGTCTTCTGGTTTTCCATGGAGAACTAAGGTTTTGCCTTCGGAGATCATACGAACGAAGAATTGGATACGATCAGGATACCATAAGAAGGCGGAGTCTTGGGTGGAACTGGAACTGGAAGTAGAAGCCCTAGTTTGGAAGTGAGGGTGTTGACGAGTGATTTGATCAAGGAAAGGATTACTGGAAGCGGTGGCGGGAGGAGAATTAGGGTTAGGATCATCCTTTCTCATCCTGAAGGAGGGTAAGTCGTAGGAGAGATCGTCGTATTCGTCGTCGTCGTAATCTTCGAACTTGCGTTTGATTCGCTGGTGAAGAAAGTCGACGGACGGAGAGTCTGGAGAAGACATTGACGGTTGGCCGGCGGGAATGGGTTTACCATGAAACCATCAAACAACAACTTGTGAGAAAGAGATTTGTATATCGCTTCGCTTCGCTGGGTTTTACAGAGAGATGATGAGATCAACGCAACCCGTGTTTACTTGGTGAGTAATCTTACAGTAATTGCCAAAAGGCATTAATAATTAAACTTAAGGAAATTTGACTAATTTAACCATTTTTTGGTCTATCTTTGACAAAAATAGCTTATTTAAATTGATCTTTGCCAAAATAACATTTTTATCTAGAATGGGTTATTTAGGAAATAAGTTCCGACTCCATATTATATGAACTGGCCATCAAATACCTTCTGAAATATGTCTGTTCTGAGTAACACAGTATATATTTCGGACTTTGAATTTTAAATTCATTTTCGGATTATATTTCGATACATTATGGATCTTGATTTACAAATGCATTTCGATCTCCGACACGCTCTCCGGTATTCCAACACACTCCGAGATGCATTTGGAACTCCAACTTAAGATATGAAACACGATCACGATAATCTGGTTGTTTTACGGGCAAACCATTTACTCTTGAACTCTTATAGTTTAATTTTAACATATTTTGTTTTTAGAGCTTCCTACGGAATGCAAAGAACATCTCCGGAATGAACTGACAACATGTTGGAGTAGCAATACATGTTGATAGTGCATTAGGGCTAACCCAACAATAGTTTAGTTGTTTATATTATGTTATTATACATCGAAAATAAATATTCCGGAAAAATGCATTCCTAAATGCTCCAGAATGCTCGGGAACGCGAGAAATTGTTCTGGAATACGAAGAAGATGTCTGGAATGTCAAGAACATGATCTGTAAATGGTGGTCGTTCGTTCTGGAGTTAGATTATAATAAGTTTTCTATTTGTGGCACGACATGGTTTTTTATGCATCCATTACACTGACTTGTAAGCCAAAATTCAGTGCGGATATTCTTGCGACAATCATACACAGACCAACATGTGAAATTATGTTCCAGAATTCATGTTTTATAAGTGGTCAGACATTCCTAACGTAGATGGAGATCATTTACTTCTACATTATGTGTTTTTCCACGAAGTTATCACGGGTCCCTAAAGCGAAGTACAAGAAATGGTATTTAAGATTAGGGGTTACGAGTTGTCTTTCGTAAGAAAGAATATTGTATTGCCACCGGCTTCCACTTTGGTGACTATTTTCCTGCCTACATCTCTGGTGCCATCTTTTGTTCTAGTGTGTTTCCTATCGTTAAGAGAAACGTCACAGTGAAATCAGACAATGTAATCAATATGTTTAAACATTCACTTAATGACTTATTGGACGAGGATGCGGTTTGTTTATGTATTCTTTATTTGTTAGACAAGGGTTTCAACGGACAGTTGCGTAAATAGCTTATGGCAGACGAGTATTTCTCATGCTATACAACATTGATTAATTCAACAGGTATCATGACGTTAATTTATAATTATCATTACTAATATTTTATACAAATTTAATTGTGAAATTTTTTATGTCGCAGATATTCATGAGGGAGGATAATTTGGGATAAGTTGTACTCACAACTATTTACTATTCACTAAGGTTGAGAACTTTATACATTCAGTTGAACCAAAAGTTAAATTACCTCAAAAAATAACGTACACCCTAAATGGATATGTATATGTTTTTAAGGTAAAATACATGATTTAAAATATTATATTTTTTGCTTGATAATATTCTAATACATGATTCTTTCATATATGGATTCTTGATAGTTTTCATGTGAGCAATTTGTTTGGTACCCGACAACCAAATGTGATCCATCGGGCTATTGCATGGTCGAAACTGAGGCATTTATGAGCGGTTGAGTACAACGAGTTTCTAAAAATTAACGATGTATGATTACTTATATATTTTATAATTTTCCTCTATATGTATAATTTATGTTTACTTATAATTTTATAATTTTATTATTAGGATAATAAACTTAAACAAAAGTTGGAGCCAACAGAAGCTGAGAGTCATGTTGAATGGTGGATAGTTAGCTCGGTATGGATTGATTGTCCTGATTTACGTGACACAGAAATTCACATGACACATGAGCCTCAATAAAAAAAAGGCACGAATATATGTTCTATCTCACCTGTCATCACCACCACCACTGTCCACTGTACCATCAAATGATAAGGACCGAATTATTACGGAGTTGCAAAACAAGGTTCATGAATCGCAAAACAAGGTTCGTGAATGTCGCGAGCAGTTGAACGCTTATCATGTGATCGTAAAGTTTTTATTTAACTTGATGGTATACCTATTACTGCATCGTTTATAATTAAATACTAGTGAAACGTACATGCACTTATCGTGTAAGTCGTTGGTACCACAGATAACAATGACTTATGGGAGCATGATTATGGGTTTGGCACACCCGAATGTCTGTTGAATCACGACCCTGAGTATCCATCTCCATGTATTCAATCGATAGATGTAACATCTTGAAAATTAGGTATATCTCTTTAATCCTTCTTCTTTTCCAAGTTGTCAAAATTAGCCCAAAATAGAAAATGGTGACAAGTGGGTACGATGGGCGTACTGAAGAGTACGATGCGCGTACCCATGGGTATTATCCCAGTACGCGGGGCGTACCAAAGTGTACACAGGGCGTACTAGGCCCATATTCAAAACCCTAAATGAAGCATGAGCACTATAAAAGGAACATTATGGCCTCCATCCCAGCCACCATTTTACATAGAGTGAAACCTTAAGAGAGCCAAACCTTCGTTCTAAGGTGGTGTGTGTGTTTTGAGTTTGAAAGTATCATTTGTGTGCTTGTGAAGAAGAAGAGAGGGCCATTGTAGAAGCTAGAGTTGCAGTGCAAGCCTTGGATATGAGCTTTACATAGGTTGGAGCATCATTTGGAAGTAAAAAGCTTAAAGATTTCTTAACCTTTTTGGATTTGTGCATTATGGACCATTTTTAGGGTTTTTATCCCAAAGGTGGAGACTTTATGAGTAAATGGTCTCCATAAGCCTTGATCTGCCCCATTTCAGTATAAAATGTGTTGTAGATCCATAAAAATTCAATCTTGATCGTTAATATTGAGTCGTGCATGAGATAAGGACTTAATGAGGAGAGAGGATAAGAGTTTGGAGTGATTGGTGACCTTTATAGCCATGCAAAGGCTTAAAGGCTTCGACTTTATGGGTTAAGAGGCATTAGAAGGACTAGATCTAGAATATGAGCTTGTATCTTAATCGATTAAGACTAAAAACATTAAGAGTATGAAACTGATACTTACATTGGGCGTAAATCTCATAATGCACCATGTAGGGGTTGAGATCCCTGATTCTAGATACGATGGGGTACACCCCGCATATAGAGTTGGTACGCCCCGCGTACTGCCCACTGTTGACTTTCGTTGACTTTTAGGGTTAGGTTAACAATTGGACATTTGGACGATTGGAGGGGTAAAATGGTCTTTCCCCTTTTGAGAGACTATAGGAATGGATTAGTGTAGCCTTTGAGAATCGTTGTTAATTAGAGGTAAATTACTTTATGTGATTAGGCAGAGGCTAGATCAATATTTCGAGTTCGAGACTGTCCGAGATTACCGGAGGTGAGTCTTCTCATTATACATTACCTAGAGGGGTATCTATGTACAGACCGGAGGGTCTTATATGTATGTGTATGTTTGAGATTTATGTGCATTGTGTTATATGTATGCTATGTGTTATATAGATCGGACCAGAGGGTCCAACGACTCATGAGGCCAGAGGGTCCTTGATCAGACCGGACCGGAAGGTCCAACAATGTAGACCGGACCGGAAGGTCCAACAATGTAGACCGGACCAAAGGGTCCAAAGATATAGACCGGACCGGAAGGTCCAACGAGCTAGACCGGACCGGAAGGTCCAACGAGCTAGACCGGACCGGAGGGTCCAAGTAGCTACGGGGCTGGAGGGTCCCGCTGAGACACATTGATCGGAGGGTCATACCGAGTTATAGCCTCGATTGGCTTATTTGTTGTGTGTGTTAGTTTGGGGAACTCACTAAGCATTTATGTTTACCATGTTATGTGTTATGTGTTTCAGGTACTAGCGAGGATCACGGGAAGGCGCTGGCATGATCTGTACACACTGATGGAGTATTATATATATTTGAGATTTGGGATATGTTTTATTGAGTTAACATTTGATACATTTGAATTTTGAGATTATTTTATGAGATATGTTATGTTTGAAAAATGAAAAAAATTGTTTTGAAAATTCATGTCGTTACAAGTTGGTATCAGAGCCTTGGTTTGAGGGATTCGGATGCACCTTCGAGCATATCTGAACTCAAACTAAGGATTTGAGAAAAAATTTCATAAAATAAACAATTTTTCTAAAAGAGTAAAAGGTTTTTGAGAAAAGCAGAACGGAGCAGTGTGTACGATCATCCAGCGCCCGAACGATGATTTCCCAAAATACCCTTACATTATGTGTTATGAGATATTATGGGATATCCTATGCATGCTAGAGTAGGATAGGTATTCATATCTAGGACTAGAGTGGCATGATTTGTGATGCCCTAGCCTAGGAGATTACTGCTTTATGAGATACTTCGAGAGTGAGTAGGTAGCAACGATGAGCTTATGAGTGGTCTACTGGAGGGTAGCCTGTGTTTAGCGAGATATAGAGTACTTGTGATCTGGGATCCTAGGAGGAAGAATTGGGGTGAATACTGATGCGTTGTGGAAGGTAGTATAGGGACCGTACTACTAGAAGCATCGGATCTGTGACCAGTCTAAGTAAGAATCCTTAGGGTACTAAGGAACAAGTAGGGTTGAGTATCGAGTGCGAGTATACTCGAGCAAGTCTCTGATTTCTTTTGTGTTGTGTTTTAGAGACATCATGGTTGGGAAACGCCACACACCAGGGGCAGCGGCGTTAGCGACGAGGAGATTCGTCGGATGATTCATGACGAGGTGGTCGCGACGATCCGGGAGGCCATTCCGGAGATGTTTGGGT